TATCGCTTTCAGGCGGGCCCAATCTACGCATGACTTTCAGCCAACTTTCATAAGAAATGCGAGGTCCACTGACACGGATCTACCACGACAGTTGAAAAAGCAAATTATCCCTCCCATCTGATGAGTCCATTGTGTTAGCAACAGACTGTGCATAATTCCGTGAAAAGAGGGCGAGACGCAAAATAAAAGTACCAAAAACCCGCCGCGAAGTACAACCAGCCGGCTGTTGAGACTGAAAGTGCATTGAGCTGGATCATGATCACGAGACCAGCCTGCATTGATCAGACAGGCCTTCAAGGTCGGCTGCTTTCAGCCAATAGACGATCGACATCTGAAAGCTCTTCCGTGACTGGATAGTCAAATTGATGGAATACTCTTCTCTGATTGGTGGGAATACTGTCGTTCCATTGGCACAGTTGTCGAGGATCAATAAGGCAGTCAAATCGGATTGGCTGGCTTTCATCCCTTTTGGGCTACGTTCTTGCCTCATTTGCTGCCTACATCTCTTAGTAATCTTTTTATTCTAGTGCTCATTATGGCATCAATTATAACTCATTCTGGAAGTACTGATTGCATTGTGTTGTGCTGTGCTGTGAACACGGCCTATTTGTAATTGCCTCACTTTTGGAATATTCGCCAAATGACAGTTGAGATTCACATGGAGTCATTAATGGACAACGGTGTATGTAAGTCCACTTTGAGGATTCATTATACGCGAGAGCACTTTAAAAGATATCCCCAATTGTCCAAAATTGTGCATTGACGGTCCGTCTGGCTCTCATTGCATTCCAATTATGCACAGAATTTCCTTTTGGCCCGAGGGTCAATCAGATTTGCTGGCGCGTTTTCTGCCACAAACATTCGTCCCATCCCATGAGGCAATTGGTACAATTTTGCTATTAAGCGTAAAGTGGAATTGAGTTGTGCGAATTAATGTGTGTGTGTGTGTGTGTGTGTGTGTGTGTGGATGGGCGAAGGACTGAATTATGATATTTGAACCAATTGTTGACTAGCACATGTTTTGGCGTCCCAAGGCAGGATAAGGGCAAGACCGAGCGAGTAGAAGGAATTCTGAAGATGCTTCTATCGCGTCAGCTTGCCAAACAGTCATGAGTGTGTGAAAATGTGAAAAGAGTGTCCATAAACACGTAATACCGCGGTCACATGCTCGGTGCGCGGAAGAGAGTTCTTCAGAACCGCGCATTTCGTGGCACCAACAGCGGCACAAAAGAGACGACCCTCGATCACACACGATGAAGAGCCTTCAGTGCCTAATTGCATACTTTGCATGACATAATGCACAACACACCAACAGGGAGACGACTTGTGCACAGTCACGGGCACTCCTTTGCGCTTTATTGGCCCATTTTGCCGATTACCCCAATCCCACCTCGCCGCTTGCTCCCAACCGGACGACCAGAAGTTGGCGCGTGTGTCCTTTTTTGTCGGGTTTGACGGACTATCAGTTTCCGCGTGTCCAAGCGACTCGTTCTGGACGGGCCGAAATGGCCGATTCCGCGCCCACTTGTCCCATTCGTCAGGTCAGGCTTCCGACTGCTTCGAGGCGACGATACGCCGCAGCCTGAACCCGCGTTGGTTGTGCGATAGAGGGCCTGGGTTCGAGTCCCGTTGAGGGTGTCTATGCGACCAGTTCGGCCGAGCTCGAACGCGTGGTCCAGTCCGGTCGGGTCGGGATGAGAATAGCTTCGTCTGGCTGTGGTGAGTGGGGTGGGCTCATGTTATTTT